AAAATTTTGAAAACTCTTTGCTAGCATTTGAGTTTTTCTTCTGGAATGATGACTATAGACTTCAAATAATTTGTAATTAATATCGATTATGTTCTCAAACTTTATATGCATCGTGGATATTTAGTCGATATGTGCAAAAATTTAAGATCAATCTTTAAGGCATTCATATTGAATTAGAAGTATTAATGTGTTTCCATCCATACCACACTAGGTTCCAGTCCCAATTTCCTTTTTACTACGCCTACTTAGAAATTGCGAATGTGAGCTACCATAAGTTCTATATGCACTGATATTGTAAATTTCTGATTATATCATATATGGTTTTTATTCAAAGGTTAAGTGTTGTTAAAATGGCACAATTCATAGGAAACCATGTCATGTGTTAAGTAGTTTCATGGCGGCTTTATTAATTTTCCTTAGTATAGCAATAAAAACAATGTTTTGAAAATAATAATGAGCAAGAGGCACTTATCAACAAATCTTGTTTCCCAACTATGCAACAACAGATGCTGTGTGGTGCTTTAAGCCTGCTTTGTTGAAGAGCCAACAAATCTTTGTGTATTGAAAACACCTCGAAATCACAATGCAACGAAAGACAATACACGAACCGCCTCTACCCATCCGAGCATCCATGTGTATACGCCACAAGAGCCACACTGAGAAAAATTTATTGTCTAGATGATTTGTGCCATGCTGTGCCACGAAACAAAAGCACACAGATGAGACACTTGTATGTGCTTGGCTACGTACATTCACACGTACGTTTTCATACTTTTTTATTACTTTTTTAATAATTTTTCCCTTTTTTGTAAGAGTATTTTTTTGCCATAGTGTATATAAATTTAATAAGAATGTAAAAAGTTTTTAATTGTAAGTCTGCAGTGTAGAAAACTTTTCGTACGTAAACTTATACATATGTAGATTATGAAAAAAATATTGTAATTTACTTTTGTAAATAATACTTTAAAAGTCCTTTTTAAAATTGTATTTAATATTTTATTAATTTTTTAGTTTTTAAATCGCAAGAATTTATTATGCAGAATGTAACATTAAGATATTTCTTAGATCATAATATTGCCCAAATATTGCCTTAAGTAGGTGTCGATGCAAAAACTTTTATTTTTCTATCCGTAAGTATACATCCTTTACGATTTTCTATATTTTAAGTTGCTTCAAATATAATACCAAATAATAAAATCTTAAGTCCTTACTATGGACAGAGTCAATAAAGAAACTTACTATAACCTTATGAATATAGGATAATCAAGATGGACATACTATACTATAAGTACTATAAGTTTATAGTACTTATAATAACTTTCACGAAAAATACTCCATATCATACTATCATATGAATAAGTCCCCAACGACAAGAGCCCCAACATTTCAAAAACTTGTCTGTAAAACCTATGCGATTTATATTAGTTAAAAAATATACTATATTTTAGGCATAGAGCAACATTTTAAGGAGCTTTTCATCGATATATTATATTCTAACACACGCATCCAAATTTTTATTTTGTATTTAAAAAGAGAACCTTTACATCATTATTAGTAATTTAGCAAATTTAGCCATTATATTTTATAAATGAAAGAAAAAATCGATCAAGTAGAAGTTGAAAAATCAGGTCTAAATATATGTAATAACATAGTCTTTCTATGCTCTGCTAAATAGCTTGTAAAAATATACATAATGTTTCTTAAAAAAGTGGCATACACATGATTGTTTCCATAGTCAAAAAACTCAGCAAATCTAATGCCCTGATTTCGCTGTCATTTTCAATGTCAAATATTCTCAGTATAATGAAAACGGGTAGTCATATGATGCCATATTCGCATTCTTGTCATGTAGTGAAAATCCATTTCACACACCAGTTAATTATAATTGTCATTTAAAATGACATAGTCAAAACAAGGCAGAAGAGATAATAGAGTGTCAATGAATAATCTATCTGAAAAAAATGCTCGACTCAAGGCGTGTACTAGTTCATCCATTAAATTTACTTAAATTTAATGCCACAAATACTTTTTTGTACTTCAATTGGCTTGGAAATTATAATGATTCTAACTCCAACTTTTTTTTTGAAAACATTTGATCATTTTGTGGAAACCACATCTTGTTGAGGTTACTAAATTTTTATAAAAATTTTTTTGTGAAATAATTTTTGGATCATTTTTAGTTTACCAACACATTTTATTGTGAAAATTTTTTTAAGAGAATTTTCCATTTACGTTTACTATATATACAACGCTTTTCTTTACTCGTGCTTTGCAGTAAATTACCTACTGCAATCTTCAACAAAAAAGCACAAATTCTAGTACCTGATATGCGCTTAGAAGTTTTTTTTACTGACTAAAACATTTTTTAAAAGATTTTCCATAAACACCTATTATCTTGATTAATATCAAAAATGTATATTCCATTTCTTACAATTTTTTCGTCTTACGAACTAAGGAATCACCTCCCACATTCATGTCACTTCGTTAGGAAATACCCCGTTTCATTTGAATGGTTATTTTTTTTTGTTCTTGACATATTATTTTACTAAAGTATTTCTACAAATACACTTCGTCAGATATTTTTTCATATATTTTATGAATTTTTTCATATTAAGCAGAATTTTGCTAATACAGAAATCTCAAAACTAAACAATAGCATCGCGTTTGTTTTCTGTTTAGGCAGCATTAAATATTAATATTTTCACAAAAAAAAATTATTATTAAATTTTGTCAAAAGTGGGCAAAAACATAAAGTAAAATGGATAAAATTCCCATCCTATATATCAATGTGTTGTAAGCACTGTTTTCCGTTTCCCACAAAAACGAAAGGTTCAAAAATATATTTTATTCAATATAAATTGAAAATAAAAAAATTAATTTAGAATAAAATTTCCATTACAAGTATTTTAATATCTTTAGCAACTTTTGAAGTATTATTTTAATATCTGTATTTTTCTTTTCTCTTTAAAGCATAGAAAAAATTTCCTTATATATTTCACATTTAATGCATCGACACTTAATTTGGCAAAAACTTTAATCTTTAAATTTATTTGAAAATAATAAGTGTGTTTCGATAGCAATTGCTATCATTGTTACCTTCATTAGAGGCTGGCACTCTATTCAGCAACTTATTAAAATATTAAGTCCACTCACAATGTATGGTAAAATTGTAAAAAATTAATGTTCAGTTAACAATAATAATGCATATGAGCAACAAATGTAAGTGTAAGTGTTGACTTTTTACTCTACCGGAATTTTTAGGTTAACGTCTGTAGACCGTCTTGCTTGCTAAGAATTGTATTTTTTATTACAATTGTATTATTTATACTATGCTATGGTTTTCATGAATTATTTTTTTAGATTTTTAATCATATTGAATTTTTATAGTCAACTGACTTAATTGCAAATTTAACAAAAGTACTAAACTATTAAACAAACTGTTGATTAACTTAATTGGAGCAGTACTTAAGGTTTACGCAGACTTCTGTAAAATAGTACAGTACGACACAACATCGTACCTAAAATATGTGGAACGGTACAGTGCGGGAAACTCAATTTCTTTCGGTTTTTACTGTAATGCATTTTTGCTGGATTACAATACTCTAGGCTTTTATATTTCGCTAATAGTAGGTTATTAAAAAAGCTGAAATTTATTTATTGTTTTGTTTTCATTCTTTTATTCACTACTTTCTTATAATAAAAATTATGTCTGCTATTGTACGGCTGGGTTTCAATTTTCAATCGTAAGATATTACATACAATATGCTATTGCATCAGTATCCCGTTCCTACTGTCATATGCTGCAGTGGGCTTAAGCATCATTTGCCTCATACCGTACTGTGCCGCAGCATTATTCGAACTTCGCATACATTTACTTATCATTCCTTAGTATGAGTTGCGAAATATCACTTATAGAAAATGTGTACGTAAAATACATAAAATAAAATATGAAAAGGAAAATTGTTCCTAGTTGAATAGAATGTAATTTAATCCACAAGTATATAAGCTACTCAACAGAGATGTGCAATTTTATATGGCAATATGGCAACGTTAGGAACGCAACTAAAATTAAGTATTTTCATACATTCCATATGTCTACGCTTGATTAAAATTCTAAGGCGTTTAAATTTGGATGTGTAAAATTTTATGTGCGGCTGTTGTTGTGATATTAAAATTTTTATTATTTTATTCTAGTTGGTTACTCTACTTTTATACCAATAACTGAAGACTACTATCATCGTCTTAAAAACATATTGCCTTAGAATGATTTTGTATTATCTTAATCGATGTTCTTTACATTTTTTTACACATACATATGTGTACTTCTTAGAATAATTTAATTTTGCTCGCTTACAGTCAATTTTTGTTAACTTATTTTTCAAATAAATCTTAGAAATTAATCACAGGTACTAGAATATTGAGATATAGTTTAGATTTATCTCTACAGGCATTCACTAAATTCTGTTAGTTCACTTTAAAAAGTTTAATTGAATATTAATGATGTGGTTGTAAATAATATAATAATTCTAATCCATAAAAATTGAAGGCAGGATAATTGTTTAATTAAGTCAGTTACTAACTTAAATATACTAAACGAACTGTCAATAAAATTTAAAACATAGTTCTAAGAAATTTTATACATTTTTTTGAAAATGATTATAACTGTTAGTCGAAAATTGTTATTTAAATAAATAAAAATTTATAAATGCAATTATAGCATCAGCTAGCTATAGATACCTTGAATTAAATAGTACATATATATATATAAAAATTGGTACTATAATTTATGCACATATTAGGAAGAGGAGTAAATTATTTAAGGACGTAAATTATTCTAAGTTTTATAACACGACCAAATTCTTTTCGAAATCCTACTTATAAATTATGCAAAAACTTTTCCATTTTAGGTAATTCAGTATAAGAGCTTTCTTTTTTATGAAATACATTTTCAATTAATGCAAAATGCAAAAGATAGATAAATAAAATTTGCTATTCAGAGCTCACATGATGTACTCAGAAATTTATTTATTCTTAAACTTTTGCTTTTGCTTTTCAAATGCTCTTCCGCTGTCAATGCGACCAATACGAATGCAATATTAGGTAAATAAAATATAGTTAAAAACTTTAGATAAATTAAATTCAAATATAATTAATGGTAAGTTTCTTAGCCGTTAACAGTTATTCGTCAAAATGTACGCAGCAGCTGGAGGTGCATCGTTGGCCTCTCGGCAAGCACGACAACGGCAGCGACAACAGAAAAAGACACAGCAGCTTCAAGCGAAACTACATCCACCTAGAACTGCTTTATTACCTGCCGAACATGGCGTTTCCACGCCCACTCGTCAATCTCGACAATTTCATAACTTGCCCACAAATTACTTACGTACTCCACAATTTCACGCACGCAAACTTAGCGCAAGTTACACAGCACAATCAAAACTGTTACTGCCAATCGATGAGAGTGATACGCAATCCATGCTGCACATACGTATGCATGCACAAGCGCACAAACATCACACACACCATTCACATAGTCATGCTCAAGCGCATGCCTATCAATATAATCATCAGCAGCAACATCAACAAACTGCAGGCAGTAGTCATCTTCATGGACGTGTATCACCAAAATTAGTCCACCGACATTCGGGCAGCAGTGGAAATAGTTTCCATCACATGTATGTGCCGAAATCTGCAACAGCCACTTTACCGCTTGTATCTCAGGTTGAAACTACTCCGCCATCGACACCAACAGGCACTGGTACAGGCACCGCAAAAATCAGTGATTCAACAGAGGGTCCTGCTGTAGATCATGATGCAATAACTGTACCACAGCTTGATGCTGTTATAGTGACCCCAGCCACACCTACAGCGTCACCGTGGCATGGTGCGAAAATACGTGATGAGTTGCCGGATACAACACATGAAAAACAACCACTTACCACTGTCCAAACAAGCGAGGACGAACCATTTAAAGAACCACCTATTACTCAATTAGAACGAAAATGTAGTGTATATCGCATGCGCCGCAGCGATGATTTTGAAAATGAGGTTGATATTAATGAAAGCTGTGGAGTAAAGCAACAACTGAAAGAATTGCAATTTAACCAGCAGCAGCGATACTTACCACTGCTATCTGATGAACCGCAAGTAGTATTCAAGGGTCTTAATGGACGAAAATCATGGCAAGTGTGCGCTTATTGTGAGGAAGGCATTTGTGTTTGTGAACATATTGAGGTAAATTTTTTCAAAATATGGGTGGATGTATTGAGAGTATAAACAAAACCGTGGCACAATACTCTCTGTTGCTTACTGTGTATCATTTTTGTTGCATGTTTGTTGTGTGTAACGTATGGCATGAAATATAAACTTATACATTAATATAGCAAAATTATTTAAAAATTTGTACTTAATTCATAGGGCCCAGTTTTACTTAAAGCAAAACAGAAATAGGCAGGAAATAATATATGAATGTACTAGAAAATAAATGTTTTGTTTTTTGTTAACGACTTCTGAGCACCAATACAAGATGTTCCCTAACGAAGTCTGAGTTCATAGACTAGTTTATTTAATATGTCAAGCTTATAACGTATTGCTCTTAAAGTTCAATATATTTGAAATGTGTTTAGTGCTTATATACTGACAAATAAACAAACGAATAAGAAGGTCAAAAGTTCTATTACACGAGTGTGTACATTGTACAGGACTTATTCGAATCGAAATCGATATTTTTTCATAGTCACTATTTACAAACAACAACAGTAATTAATTTCAAACGTCAAGTAGAATTCTTAGTAAACAGTTTAAATAAAAAATACATTAGCAGTTATTGGGTACCTGTTATTGGGTACCTTGTTGGAAATAGAAAATTCAATGAGTGTACTTATTTGAAAATTTAACTGCAATTATCATTTTCATAACAAACATTTTTCGGTTGTTCACACTTTCAAGTATGCTGTCAAACTTTATTTGACGCCATTATTTGTCAATATTTCACTTGCAAAAGTTTCTTTGCGAGCGTGCTCGTGAAAATCAGAAAGTTTATATTCACAAACACATAAACTTACAAATGAGAACCTACTTCGTGACAGGTTGAGTAGTGGGGATAACATGGCAGTTGCCCGTGAATATGAAAACGTTCATAATTAAAATTTTTCCCGGATATTACTTACAATTATATGAGAAGGAAATTAACGTTTCTTTTCGCGACTTTTCATACAGATTTCATCATACAAAAGCAATCAATTAATATAATATTTTTATGAAGGAATTTAATTTATTTTTATATTAAAGCGTAAATGATACTTTAACATACATATTTAATCTTGTGTAATATTTGTTTAATTGTTGTAGTTTATCCAGAATAAATGTTTAGAAACAATTAATTTAACTCTCCTAACCGGAGTGTTTACTATTTTAAATGTATTGTATGAATGAAAATAAATTACAGGCGTTTATAGTCTGGGTACTTGAAATTTTATCGTAAATATATTATGCATTGACCATCTATAACAGGACTGTCCAGACCAGATGCGACTGAGAGCTAATACAAGTCACTATACAGATGGGTGGGTCGCAGAAACCAATACATACCTTCATAATTGTTTTCGACAAAAATAAAAATACGGTTATAATGTTAAATTTAGTTTTATTAATTTAAACGGATTTATTCGGTATACCATAAACAAGTTCAAAAATATTATAAAACAAAAAGTATGTTCAGATTAGAACATAAAAGGTCAGTAAAAATTTAAACGCATAAATTAGCAACTCTAGCTGGCTACAGTAGCTCAGGACTCCTACTATAGTCCAATTATTAGACCCGTACTGTAGCAAGCAACTGGTGCTTAATCGGACATTGGTCATAATATTAATATTATAACATAAAAGTCTTTTCTTGTATATCTCCTGAAAACTACTAAACCAAAATATTTGATCGGGATTGATACTAGATATAACCAAAAACATATTTAGTCAAAAACACCTTAATACCTTAAAAATGGTTTATACAAGAAACTGAATCGTACCCATCTATACTTTCATTAAATATCCTTTATTATGTGTTTATATTTAAAAAAGCTCAGAATTTAGATGATTCCAAGTCAATTTTTTAGTTCTGTGTACGGAAAATCTACTTTGTTTCCAAAACTTTTGTAAAATGTATTCATTTATTCATTTATATCGATACCAAGATAGCAAATCTTAGGAATTTTTTTAGCCAAAGAATTTTTATTCTATCATACATCAAAATCCTATAATCGTACTTTGAAACATCCTACCTATTGCGTTTTTCGACAAATTTTATTTGAAAATGACATAGGACTATAGTCGAAATATTGATGACAATAACTTATATTTTTTAAACAGAATATAAAATAATTTTTACATAATTCAATAAATAAATTTTTATTTTATATAAAATAAAAATAATTTGTGTAATAGGCCAATCATTTAATAAAAGTTTAAAATAGTTTTTATAAAATTGAATTAATAATTATTTATTTTATATAAAGTAAAAATAATATGTGTATTATAAATTCCGTACAAAAATTTATAATTAAAATTTAATCGTTAAAACAATAAATAAAACAAAACCCTACAGATTGCTTGACCGGAAAATAATGTGGATAACACGATTGTTTGACAATTAAAAGTGAAAACATAGCATAATTCCGAGTACCGGAAAGATTATTTTTAATTATCAAAATGATTAAATCTTCAATATTTCTTGTTAAAGTCTTAATTTTTAAAAATGGAATGCAATCGTAATTCCTCCTACAATATAATGCAGTACATATTATGCCTAGACGAGAAAGTCTTAAGAACATATTAATGTTTGATATATGGAAGTAATTATGTAAGGAGTATAAATACATATAAAATTTTTTTATTATATCCTTAGCGAAATAAAAGATTTTCAAAGTAAATGAGGGTTTGTATTAATATGATAAAAATAGTGCTCTTATTGAACTATATCAGATCGAAGCAACTGTTCAGACCAGATCGCAGAAACAAATACATACATTCATAGCTGTTTCGACAAAATAAAAATACGGTTATAATGTTAAATTTAGTTTTATTAATTTATCAATTTTAATTCATTTATTTGGTATACCATAAAAATAAAATAATGTAGTTTAACCAGTACACCAAAAGAAAATTTGCGTAATTGAAGTAGATTAAAAACACGTTGCGAGCCGCAAAAACATTAGCTGCGGGTCGTACTGTGGACAGCCCTGAACAATATTATTAGGCTTAACGCAAATAATCTAGATCCTTTAAGCGTCTAAAATTGTGGCTATATAACATAAATATTTGGTTGTATCCATTTTTTTGTAACTCTGAGTTAAGAAAATATGGTTCATCTGAAATACAACATTTCAAATACAATATACTATCGTTTGTCTCCTTCTTTGATGGTATGAAAAGTGTTATTAAAGATTATACCAATTATAATTACCAGTAAATTTCAAAATATGCTTTTCCATCGTTTATTATCAATATATAGCATATTTATATCTGCACAGCACTACACAGATATCACGAAAATTTTTTTACACAATTATTTACTCTATAATGACCATAAATATATATCAGCATTTTTTTTCAAAGCACAATAAGAATTCTTCTTAAGGACACACTTCTTAGCTGAATAATATCTCTAAAATCATTTTTTTTAAATGTATGGAACAAATCAAACTCTTTTGGTCACGTATCCTTCTTAAACGAACAAATGTCGGTTGACGATGAATGTTCGCTCAAGAGAGTTTTCACTGTATTTATGTATGTCGCAAAGTTCGTTGCACCGTAAGCAAAATTGGTATTATACGTTATTTAAAAATATATATTCAGGATCTGTAAATAAATAATCGCAATTACAGCACAAATGCAACTCTCTGTGTTATTATTGATGATAATCAAATTTAAATGCTACTAAGTAAGATTTTGTTAATATTAGTTATTTTTAAAGATAGTTTATAGATTTTGAGGGCAAATTTCATATTTATAATTTGATCATTTTTGGTTTTCTAAGAACAAGAAATTAAACTTATAAACAATAATAAATCCCTTACCATGCGACTGCTTAAATACTCAGTTAGTTGATACGTACCGTAAGAACTTAAATGAACTTAAGCCAAAGCGAAATACACAACCAACCACACCTGTTTATTTCGTTCCTACCAAATACACAGATATAGTTGGTTGTTTATTTCGCTTAGGCTTAAGTTCTTACTAACTAACTGTGCCTTAACGCTATAAAACTTTGCTTAAGAGGATGTAATATACAAAGTGTAATTACGCAGTGGGTAATTCGTAATTAGCAATCATTGAGGTGTAGTATAGAAGTTAGAATCTTTAATGATGACTGTTCTGTAAATCTAGGAACAAAAATTAAATAAACTCTTTAATTCCTGAAGAAATTCATGTGATACTTTGTATAATCCATTCATAAAGTTTATTCACTGGACTCGAAATCTTCCATTCTATATTTGATCTGCTATTATAAATTTCCTTAGTGTAGGGATATAGCAATCTTTTTCTCAACTTTACCATATTTTTTACCTACACACATTTTTTTAATCATTATATTAAAAGGAATTACTATTTCAATACTATTATAGTGTGACAGTTGCTAAAGATTTACGTGAATACTATTTATAACGATTAGAAAGTTTAAGTCCTAAAAGAATATACCGTCCATATTCGTTTTTTCAACTTGCTTAGATTAACGAACTCCCAATTACTGAGAAATCCATTAAAATAACTTTATCTTACTTTCCCACAGTCCATCATCAGTCCATTCATTATCAAAGTTTTATTATCAAAGTCCATCATCAAAGGTAACATTAATGCAATGAGCATCTACTCAAAAAGAATTTTATGCACTAAGTAGTTAAGTTGAATAGTTGTAGTAGCGGCAGAGCTTCCTCTTTTGTTCTTCTGATCTCCGTTTTAAAACTAAATTTAAATATCTGTGGTTTGGAATATCCGCCAAACTTATTACTTAATGGACTTCTATAGTGGAATGTTTTAATCTTGTTAGGCCGTGGTATTTGCAAGAGTTATTGCTTTTTCCTCTTCTTCACTGCAGCTGCTTCATTTTTGGTTAAGAGATATTTCTAAATTTTCAACATGGGTCTGTTAACAAGAGGCTTGTCAGCACCACCACAGGTTTGATATAGACCTTGGTATCCAGTAGAATTAATCTATTATCTAATATTCAAGTTTGTTTTTTT